AAGAACGCTTAGGCCTAGGAACTTCAAACTTGGTGTGATGATTGGTCATGACAAGCAGATGATCCCTATTGTTTTTGGGTCAAAGGGTCAAAGGTCAATGTCACATTGACCTAGTAGGTAAAAATGGTTTCCAATCAATAACTAAAGAACGCTTAAGCCTAGAAACTTCAAACTTGGTATGATGATTGGTCATGACCAGCAGATGAGCCCTATTGATTTTGGGTCAAGGGGTCAAAGGTCAAGGTCACATTGCACTTGAAGGTAAAAACGGTTTCCGATCAATTACTAAAGAACGCTTAGGCCTAGAAACTTCAAACTTGGTATGATGATTGGTCATGACCAGCAGATGACCCTTATTGATTTTGGGGTCAAAGGTCAAGGTCACATTGACCTTGTAGGTAAAAACGGTTTCCGATCAATTATTAAAGAACGCTTAGGCCTAGGAACTTCAAACTTGGTATGATGATTGGTCATGACCAGCAGATGACCCCTATTGATTTTGGGGTCAAGGGGTCAATGTCTTATTGACCTTGTACTTAATAACGGTTTCTGACCAATAACTCAACAACTCAAGTTGCTTTGGTTGATATTTTTATATTAAACTAAAAATGCTTTTGGTATACACATTTGAATGTCTTATGTAATATAACAACTTGGCTGTCATTAATGAGGCCTACATGATTCATAAAATTTATGCATATATTATTTGGTAAGATTTGTAATAACTTAAATTGCTGCACACAACCTATGGGGTCACAATAATTAGTACTTTGTGACTAGTCATGACCAGTAGATACTAGATAACCCTTATTAATTGTTGGTTCACTGGGTCAGAAGTCATGCATAATAACCTGATCACATGACTAATTGGCTGCCGATAGGGGGCATGCATGTTTTACAAACATATCTTGTTTATATACTGATATACGTTCATGTTTAAGAATAAAATAAGTGACAATTCTCGCAACACTCATTCACGCGAGATTAAGCCAAACCTAAATGATATTATGGTTCCAGTAACCTGACCGACCCTGTATTTCGCAAAAAACCTAAAACGTTTTATTGCAAAAAATGAGTATCTGATAGTGTATATTTAACATAAAGGTAAATTTTAATAAAGTACTAATTAAAAAAAGTTTTTCCAGCCTACCTACCCTAAACCTTCAAGATCATTTTGTTTTCGGCCTTATGACGTCAAACACACAGGCCAAATTTTCCTCTTGGAATTTTTATCTTATGTATACCATATCACACGCCGGCCCCGAGGTTATTTTTATAGATAAACTTAAGGGGGAGGGGGTGGGGGTTGACACAAACACATATGTCTCCCATGTATGTATCCTAAGGATGGAAGAATAGCATGTAAATCCCATCAGCAGCTTGACCTGCGAAAGTAATTTTAATAATATTTATACATAAGCCGTTGAGCACTTTGACAAAATAAAGACCATAAAAGTTCCATTGTTGAAGTAACGTGAGAGCATATTAAGACCAAATATGTGACTAAAATAATTTTATTGAAATCAATGAAATTCTTACTGAAATATCTAATATGAATAAACAAAATTGAATAAACTATTGGATGTCACGCTCCTATTTATAGGATAAATAAAGTTGGTATTTTCATAAGAAAAGCCAGTTTTTTTAAATTACATAAATAAAGTGATACCATTTATTCCACATTTTGATGTTGTTGCCTTTATATTCATATTCTGACCACCTATAGTCTGTAGAGTTTTAAACATGTTATATCTACTTTGTGTGAAGTCAAAATATGTTTATTATATATTTACAAAGTGACTGTTAAACAATTATCGATATTATTTGATGTCAAATTTGAGCATAGAATATATCAAAAGTAGATAATGTCATTTGTAGAACCCAAAATATACACAAAATAGTGAACTTTTATTGAAATGCGACTTCTTATCACTGTTGTTTCGGGATATCACTAAAAATTCAACATTAGTGAAATATAAATCTAAGTGCATCAACATATATTATATGTTTTATATATTTATTTATATACTTATTTATATATTTATTTATTTACACCGAAGGGTGAGTATATAGTCGCCGCTTTGTCCGTCTGTCCGCTCTTACTGGACAGTAACAATGCGACTAGAGGGACAATAGGTAACTGTTTTTTTCTCTTTGATGTCATTCATAACGTAATACTTTAATGTGGCTATTTTCTGTATTTTCTGTTGTGTGGCTAAAAAGAAGAAAGGGGAGAACCATAGATTAGCCACAATATTACTGTCCGATTGTCCGTGCGTCCGTCCGCTATTATTGTCCAGGACATAACTTTGAAACAACAAAAGGTATAAACATGAAACTTTGTAAGCAAAAAAAAACTTTTAGCAAAAAGAACTGTAACTCCGCCTTGCCTAATTTCGGAGTTATTGCACTTTGTTTTTGATTTTTTCACTTTGAACTTTGTTTGGAACATAACTCTAAAACTATAAGATATATCAACATGAAATTTTGTAGGTAGGAAGATCTCATTGATTGGAAGTGCAGTTCTTAAGAACTATAACTCTGTCTTGCCTTAATTTGGAGTTATTGCCTTCGTTCATTTTTACACTTTGAACTGTGTCTTACACTTCAAAGGTATACTTTTCTGAGTCCAAAACCTACTCGGAGAGTATCAGTCGGTTCAACCGATTCTTGTTTATTTAGTATAAAAATGAAATATCAATTTCTAGCGTTTCTACCATTAATTTACCGTAGTACACCATTTACATTTTGAAGTGATTAAATGATGTCACATTTATTGGAGAGGTCATCAGACCTCTGCACAGTGTTCAAACTGATTGCTGGCGGCATCCATTTTGCGTATCTGATTTGTAGTGAATGAATCTCATTTAAAGCGTTATCATTAGGAGCAGTCTACAAAAACTGTTGTGCGCATGTTCCGCTTCAAAATACGACTTAACTTAAACGATAAATTAGCATTGAAGTGAACAAATCGGTACATGGAAATTTCGGAAAATATCATTTACGTTACTTAGCGCAACGTGGATGTTTCATTCCGTTTTAGTCTTTTAAACTATATAAATCGATTACCGTATCGTTTTCTGAATAGTGTTTTACTATTTCATGTTCGATAAATAGTCACTTTGAACATTATAGCTACAATATCACCATGCACTATTATATGACCGAGTGAACCGTGTACCGAAGTTTTGCTGCTCCTTTTACTTTTAAACCGGTGTGACTAAATAACGCAACGTAGTTTTTTTAGCGCAAATAGCACAAATTTTACTCAAGTTTGATTATTTTCAAATATTGTGGTTGGAGTCATGCATATTTATACACTGTTTATTCCAATCAAATGATATACACATATTTATGTAAATCTTGGACTTAAAATTATTTGATTAACATACTTTATGCCCGATTTAGTTTGATGACATAACATAAATTGTTCCCTTTGTAGAAAAAGTATTCCTAATGCGCCAAGAAAAAAAGTCCATTTCACCGGCATATAAACTTTCAAAAATTAAAAGAAATTTAGTATGAAACAAACTTTCATTATGATACTTTATTCAATATATATAATAAATTATATTTTGTTTAATAATTGTAACTTATAACCATTCATTGTGCCGTTTATGCAAACAAATATTCCAAATATTTTAGAATTAAACAAATATTCCACAGCTGCAAAAAAGACTTCTCGCATGCTTCTGTTTAAAGAAGCAAACTTGTATAGCCTCAATGTGAACTTTTATGAATGAAAGAAAAGTTAAGTCCCGTTTTACCTTAGAAAATAACATTGATTTTAATTTATTTCTACCACATTTATTTTACTTTAGAATCAAGGAGTTAAACTGATATCGTACCAGCAACAATTTCATTTAAACATTCATAAATTAAACTGATCACGTACAAGCTAAAAAGTCTAAATAAATAAATGTTGCATTGCATAAAATGGTCATGTTTAAATTTAAAACATTCTTATTAACATAAAGTCATCAAATTCAAAACAAAATAAAATTCCATTCTTACCCAAGATCACAATAAACAGCATTCAAGGTCTAAACAAAGTCTTCTTTTAAAGGAGTTTTTCACCATGCCTGCGAATTTATTGAGTATTAATGGGTAGGTTTAAAAGTTTAATTTGATAAAACAGAACCGTTGTCGTCTCTTCTGCGTGGGAAATATTTTCTCCAGAATGTAGAAAAACGAAAATGTTTATACTCTATTGTTATAATAAACCATTTAAGTTGATTTTAAACATTGCAATAAAAATCTTTTCAAATAAATCAGGCATTCTTTTGCAATAAAATTCCGTAAATAAATTTGTTCCATGGTAAACATACACACTTTCTGAAAAACAAAATTTAGTATTTTATGTAGCTACGCCATCACATCATGTATCTAAATCGATCCGTTATGTCTCAAAAATAGAATGAACAAAAAATGGGCCATTATTTCCATCTAAGCCTTTGAGGCCCCCTTCATTCCTTGACACTGCTTTACATACTCCTATGATCTAAGCCTATGTCTTAGATCATCGGAATATTCAAATGACGAGATGGCATCGGAATGACGAGATGGCCCCTTTACAGTCATTTTGTTCAACATTACTGCGGACCAGTCGTCAATTTGTTTAGACTATAATTAGAAATATATTAAAATTTACAATAGATAAATCTGATTCATGATCCCCGAGAGATCCAAGTGGTGACAAGATGGCCCCTTTACGGTCATTTTGTTCAACATTACTGCGGGCATGTACATTGGTACATAAATAATTTTGATTTATTCTCTTTTTATTAGAGTGACACACGTATACAGGTAAACAAACCAAATACACACTGTATGGTCAATATGAACGTTTAATTTTAAAATTCATTTGAACGAGGAGGATAGCAGACAATAGATTCAGATAAATCAATTTTGGGGATAAAAGTAGCATTACGTTAATATTGTGATGCCAGCGCTTATACATTTTATTGTTATGTTCTAAAGAAGAGGACAAAAAGACATTAAGTTCATTACATTATCAATAAGGTAAATTAGAAGTTTATACATATAAATGCGCTTCAAATGTTATATTACAAAGGTTATTAACCAATCTATGGTTTTGACATATTTTAACATTGTGGAATATCACAAAACGCCCATTGTAAATATCCAGGTAAGACACACCAAAGTCCCCACGACAGTGTTGGCGTTGGACTACGACAGTAATTCTCTGCCTCCGTTAACGATGACTCATGGATATATTGTGGGTCTATATTCCATTCGCCAGTATGCTCGTCCCATCTGTCGCATGGTAACCCCGAACGCGTAACATTTTTCTTCCCCGAATAATTCCAAATAGTGTTGACGTAACAATGATCAGCTACAGTAACTGTAATTATAATATTTAAAACATCAAGTGTACAATTGTTCCAATTTCTTTACGAGAACACTGTATTTATATATACACGTAATATGTCATACCCCAAGTTGAATGAAACAACGTAATGCTCATCAGTAACATTTGATGTAACGTATGTGTTGAGTTACATCGTCAATAGTGAACATTTTACAAAACGAATCTTAATAAGATGCATATTCAAAATATCTAAAGCCCGGCATGACAAACTCGTCAGAGCCGTCTGGTCACGTCAGCAGCTGGATCATGATGATGTCATGTGACAATACGGAGCGTTATTGTTAGAAGACTATTATTATAGTAAACAAGTAACGTGAGGAATAATATTATCGAATGCGTACAAATATTTAAATGTACCAGTTTCTAAATCCCTTCACGTTTTAAAGTATTAAAACACCAGGTAATTAAATTGTAGAAATTTGTTTTAATAAGAATGCATTAATTAATAATAAGTCCATACCATCAGCACACATTAAACCCTCATATCCATCTGTGCATGTACAATAATACCCATCTTCTTGGTTGTCACAAGTTCCACCATTTTCACATGGGTTCGGTGAGCATTTATCTATATTTAAAAAAAACGACTGCAATTCAAACAACTTTTTTTTTAAATACAGATGAAAATGATGTGAGTATAATGTTTTTATCTTTTATATTCTCTGTTTTGTAAAATAGGCTAACTGAATTATTTATGCTTGTTGACAAGGTTCGAATCCTTGGTTTAATAAAATTAATAGACCGCTTTGCAACAAATACCAATAAAGTGAATGAAAATCAATACATATATATATATATATATATATATATATATATAATATATATATATATATATATATAATATATATATATATATATATATAATATATATATATATATATATATATATATATATATATTAACTGGAATTTGGTTGATGTTGTTTTAATTTGAAGTAATTTTCATAACCAGTTTATATTGATGCTTGTATTGAAAATGTTAAAATGTATAACTTAAAATTCTTACCTTCGTTACAATTAACAGTTTCACTCCAGTGTCCATTCTCAAGACATGCAGAATATTTGATATCGTTGTTGTGGTTACACGTGAACTTTTTACGTCCACCAATGGTGTTAATATTACCCATCCAGTAGCCATTTGTTGCGGATGTTATTTCATAACACTCTACAAAATAGTATGAAAAAATATCAAGATGATATATGAAATAAAATACCTGTTTTTGGTGAAATGTTTGTTTAATATTTATTTCTACCTGCCGCATAGATATGATGCCAATTAAAAAAAAATTAATTGTAAAAATCTTTTGAAACTTCAGCAGCTCCTTTATGATAGCTTAAATATAAAAAACGTATCGCTTTCCGTGATAATAGTTATAAACAAGTAAACACGTTAACTACTTAAATAACTACTAGAATAATTTGTATTATACTCGAGTAAACAATGATAATATTCATTGCTTTAAAAGAAGGCCAGAATGCTAATCTTAAAATGTATACATTGTACCAGTAAAAATTAGGTAATACTTCAATAAGGTTATTTACAATAGCTTATACGTTAGGAGAATTAAAATAACATAAAGCAAAAAGAAAAACAACAAAAAAAACAAGCAACAAAACAGACAAACAAAAAAGCAACAAACGAACAAACAAACAAAAAACAACAGCAGAAAACCCAAGTTCACCTTTATATGAACATGCACCATTGTACATATCACAGACCATACCGGTGTTACATTCACCACACGGGCTCTGAAAAATAAGACAATGTTTCATTATTTATAAACCACAGGTTGTTTTTATTTATACTTGAGAACCGAACCTAAAATGGATTATTTATTTCATATTTAATACATGCATACGTTTGAGATATTATCTGTTAATGCAAATACGAGTTATTTCCCTTTGTACATGATTCTAATATATATGATCTATTTGTTGTTTCACGTCATAAACTTTTGCTGCTTAATTTGAGTTTTGCATGTATATCATTCATAAATCAATATTTATAATGAAGTGTTGGTATTGATGTATTAACATGAAACAATAAAGTTAGCGATATGATAAATGAGCATTGAAATGGTTGTGAATAGTGTTGTTATATATGATTTTGAATAAGATATAGGTTACTGTATACAAAAAAATATCAAATGTTTCTTTTAAATCGTTTAGTACTTTTTGAGAGTCAAAACATATAGAAAAAATCAATCAAGTAAAACACGGGAAAATATAAAATTAAATGGTTAAATTAAGACCGTGAAGATGCTAGAAAATAGTTCAAACGTGCAAATAAATATTATTCAAAGAAGAGGTCAGAAGGAAATGAAAAAAATGAAAACGTGAGAAATAAATCTCGCAAATAAAACTAAACTACCCTTTTAGATAAAAATTTGATACAAGAAGTGAGATCAAACAGTAATTTTAATGGAAATAGACTATAATTGGCCCGTTAATACAAAAGGATAGGCACAAAAAAATTAAAAACGCTGGGAACGTATTTTAAAGTGGGGCATTTCCGGGTTCCAAATTTTTATTTTATTTGTTCCCCAAAGGGGGTTTTTTCAGGGTGGTTAAAAACCCCAATTTTTTATTTTAAAAAGGGGTTAAAATTTCCGTGGGAGTTTAAAAAATGTAAAATTTTAAATATTGATTTTTTTTTATTTTTAAATTATAAGTATGAGACTATGTAAAAGAAGGGGGGGATACCAAGGGGTTTTACGTGAAAATTTTCCCTTGGGGGTAAAAAAACTTTCCACGAGAATCGGAAAATTTAAAATAAAAGCTTTTTTCCCTTTTTGGGTATGTTTTTTAAAAGGGAAAAAGTTTTACAAAGGGCCCCTTCTAGACGTCATTATATGTAAAAAATTTAATGATACGAAAGCCCCCGATTAGTAAAAAAAATTTTTTCCCTTTTTTTTGGGAAAAAAACCGTGGGGATTTCTTTTATTATTTTTAAAAAAATAAGTTTTTCCCCCTGAGAAACAGAAAAATTCAAAAAAATGAACAAAATGAATTGGAAAATCGATATATAAAAAATTTTCAACAATTATATTATGATGGTTTTTTATAATTGTTAAAAGCCCTTCATTATATATGGGGTTTTTTATTTTAAATTGTAAAATAAATTGAAATTTATTAAACTTTTTTTCAAAAAGGTAATTATATAAAAAAATGTAAAAATTCAAAAATGTATCAAAATATTTTAGTGTAAAATGTACTGTAAAACCGGGGAATACTTAAGGGAAATACGGGAAAATACAATTTCCCCCTTTTGCTTTTGGGCGCTTTTCCGGCCCAAGGGAAAAAAGTTCACCAAAAAATGTTTAAAGGGGTTTATAGTTTTAAAACCTGCACAGTGTTTTTTCCCCCGTGATCCACATTCTATGATACAGTTTGCAAGTGATAGTCCAGTAAAGATACGAAATCTTGTGTTGTTGCTTATGCATCTCTTTCTAGATTTTACCGAATATGTAATTTCAACATTATTTGTACGGATATATGTTGTTGAAAATACAAAATGGAGCATGCTCAGAAAATATAAATATGTCAAATGATAACTCATTATTTTTGTACTAACTTTCTACATTTCTTAAATATATTATTTATAGCGTTCAGTAAAATGCTCTTTTCAAACAAAAGTTATAAGAGAAATTGTTCATAGCATTTAATTTGAAGCTTTTCAATAAAAATATCGATATTGAACTCGAATTAAACGTGTTGATTTTCACTTAAAGCATGAGAGAATGTTACGTTGGACCTTAAATAATTGTAATTCTGGACTCGTGACTAAATCGATGTTTCACACTTAGTCTAACAAAAATTCAATCTGTAATACTTGCTTTTCAAAGAGATACGGTTCAATACACTGCTACCGTTAATTAAATATTTACCTTTTTTTAAATCGCTTAGTCAGAAATGTATAGACATAAATAAACAAAGTTATATGGTCCATTAAAACAAGATATAACAACTCAATAAAGTAAATATCATATTTTATCTGGTTTCAGATGATAGAATTGCACAAAGATATTGACTATTTGTCACATTTGTATCATTTTATAAAAACTAGATATAATAACTCAATAAAGTAAATATCATATGTTATTAGGTTTGAGGTGTAAAAACTGCAAGATATTTATTGTTTCTCACGCCAACAAAAACATATAATTTACTTTGTCCAGCATACTACATTTGTATATCGAAACTGGCAATAACAAGGTTTAATTTTTACTTTCTTGTAACATAGCCATCTGATATCGGTTACAGCAGAGCTCTTTATTCATATAATAATATATTTGTATAATTAATATTCTCATAGGACCGATAAGCGGCAGTCAATTAAAATACTCATAAGAGTGTGAACAAATTGTCAATATAGCAATCCATAAAATACAAGAATTTATCATGAAATATTTGACGTATGCATGCATTTATTACATATCAAGTAATTAGTTGTATAACTAAATGCTTTAATAGTGTCTTGAAGTGGGGTGTTTTTGTAAATATTTGGATAAAATGCTAGCAAAATTTCAAAATGGTTATTCTTGCATTTTTTCAAGGGATATTTTGTAAGAATATCCAAATGACTGTATTATTGTTTGAATAATCCAGCGATCTTCAAATACTATGACGTGATATGATTATCACTATCATATATATTGATTGATCAATTGATTGATTGGTTGATTGATTGATTATAAATTTACTACTTTTTGTATACATACAGTATAATGACGGTTATCCATTTACGAATGACCTAATTAGGGTAACTTTGTCAAAGTATTATCTAAACCTTACTGAAACAGTGGATCAACAATTTTAAACACTCGCCGATCAGCCAGATATTCAAAAAAGGACAACAGCAGAACAATAGAGCTAAAATTTCTTCTTTTAAGAGTTGTATTCCGAATATTGTTTACCCCACAAGAACATACACACTTGTTCCGAGTTGCGTACATGAAGATCTGTGGTTTCTATTAAAATATAAAAGAAAATGAAAAAAAAAAAAGTTTAAACATATTCTTCGTCCGTTTTTATAATTTATCATTGGATAAAAGTATAATAATTTTTTATTCATTTTTTCATAAACCTACATGCAGAAAAAATGTTTGCTTAACGCATTTCAAATTGAAAAAAAAATAATCAATTATTCAATTTAAAGGGTTAAAAACTAAATGAACCCCTGTTCTTAGTGTATAATGATATTTTCCGATTTTTCTTTTTTAACCTTGATGTTCATTTTTCGTTAAGGTAAAGTTGTAATTTACAGCTGAGCATGCGCGCAACATTTTTGTAGACGAGTTCTTATGATTATAGCCTTTAATGAAATTCAATATTCTTCAATTTGATACGCAAAACATGGATACTGTCAGCAATCATTCTGAACGGAGAGGTTACAAATATTGTAATAATGTTAACAGATACGTTTCATTACTTTTTTCAAAATTCGTTGCTCAATGATATTGTATAAAAAATATGTTGTTGATATATAAGCCGAAAACTGTCCAATATGTAAACTATTGAATTTCATGAGGCGCGTTGCGCCGAAGGGAGTTTTATATTTTACTTATTGGTCAGTTTGAGGTTTAAATCTCATTTAAATTACTACTATTGCTGTCAAATATTATGTTACTTTTAAAGCATTAGAAATAAAGCTTTTTTTGTGCTGGAAATGTACAATTTAAATGTTTTAGAAATTACGTTTTTACTTGCAAATACCCTATAGGTAGCCTCTTCAATAATCAGATGTCCGTAGCATGAAATTTTCATATAGTGATTTATGACAAATTATGGACATGAACACAATGATATACACAAAATTCAAAATTATACCAGTTACACAAAATGGTGGACTTACACACATCCAGTATACATCAATATATATTATATCATATACAAATTTTCACATCTGTAATAAATCTCTGATATATTGAATGATTGACTGAGACAATTAATGTCCATTAATATGTATTTTGTATGGATTCACATTTGAGATTTATACCTGTTTACCACAACTATCACCAATTCACGGATGTAAAATGTTTGATATTTGTCATAACACAAGAGTCTGAAATGTTTTTTATATAAAAATCAAACATATACAATGTATGTAGTCAAATATAAACGCTTCTGTTTATTTATTTCTTCTATTACGTTTATTTGAAAAGTTTAACTATCTGAAACATTACGTACATACAATGAAGTAAATCAGGTATAATTGTAAACTAAATGTGCATGTATAAAAACGAGAAAGAAAAAGGGAAAGTTAGGCAAGAAATTAAACCATTTAAACAATGCCATCATTATATCTTTACTGACGTCCCGCTTCCTTTCACTAGGGAGGCGTAAGCAAGGATATGATTTTAAGAGATTGGAGTTTAAAGCCAGTAGTATTGGGGATAGGACTCGTGAAAAGAGCAAACAAATCATCGAGGTTTTAGCATTTCTGTATCGCATATATAACAATTTTTGTTCTTTGTTCTTGTAAAATTCTGCAAAAGGCGTAATGGTCGGGAGAAAGGCGTTGCGTTGCTCGTATTAACCCCTGATTACTGATTATTGAGGTTACAGTTTCCTGATTTTTATTTGGATGAAATACCAAAGTCATTTGCTCATATAAGCTTCTTTTACTACACGCTGTCTTATATTAATGTGCTACACGATTAATATTGGACTTGCACATTAATAATGGAAGCCTACCTGTGCTGTATTAAAAATACATTACGGACAGAACAAAGGAATTACGTCATAGTAGTTATTTAAATATAAATAAGGGATGATTTTACACATGAATACATTTGGATATTCTAATAGCAGTGTGTTACAATTGCTCTATCAACATTATTTGGTATTACGAAAGGAATAAATATGTTGCATTTTCGGGTTTTACATGTGAAAGATGGGATGTACATATTGGAAGATGCAATGTAGATCAACGATATATCCCTGTGTCTTTATTAACGATGGCAGATAATTACTGTGACAGTCGTAATTTTACAACAACGTTGTCATATATTTGGTGTGCTTTACCTTATTCCAATGGGGTTTTGTAATATTGCGCGTTGTCAAACAATTTAAACACACATGAACATGAATGAGTTAATTAGTAAGCTCTTCTAATTGAAGTGCACTTTTATGTTAGAAAGCATACAATTAAATACATTTAAAACAATTGGCCACATTTATAAGGTTATCATAGACAATGCTGAACTGTTTGTCTATTTGTCCCCTATTTTTGAACATTATATTGCACTAACAAGGTAACAGTAACATCTTGTTTATTTTCCTATCAAAATGCATTGCCAGATCTTCAGTTTGAGCTTAAAATAGGTGTTCACTAAACAAGGTATAAGAAAATCTGGCTAATCAAATACATCCATGATATAAGTGAATTTCGCTGAAACATAAGATGATAAGGAAATCTCAAAGGGAGAACCACATCATAGCATAATCCCAGTGGATCTCATGACCCCCTAAATCCCTCTGAATCCGCGCATGACATCATTTAATAGTTTAATTAATAATGTTTTAAATTTACAAATAATTCGGTTTCAATACACGTGTATCTTAAAGCTACATGCCAGATGAGTCAAAATATTTCAATAAAAGCAAACATGAGAAAAATGTACTCATATGTTAGGAAAAGTAAACGTTTCAAGATTCAAGTAATATTTTACATGTATTGTGCGATTAATGAATGATTTTTTAGTATCAGCTACCACATTTCTACTGCGTTACTAACGCAGTAAGGACAATTTATGCATATTTTGACCACTTTTTTGGTAATTAACATGGTTTGAAAGTGCCATTGATAATGTGTAAATTTATTCCTTTTGGTTACTTCCCAAAATTACACATTCAAATACATTTTCAAATTTTTTATTAAAATTAGCATGTATCTGCAGGCGGGCTGCTTTAATATAACATTACGTGCACCATAAAACAATAAAAACAAATGTAAAATTATTCTGACTTTTATTTACACTCTCAATTTACGCTTGGATGGCCATAATGTAACTTTAATATACATAGTGTGGATGTGGTGCTATATGAGACACAAATCGCAAACATGGTTATTGTTTTTAAATAAGACATAGAGAATTTAGAAAATAATTCAAACATAAGATTCACCCTTAAACAATTGTGGGGTATTTCATTTAAAGAGTGCATGCTTAGTTTTAAATCATTCATTGTTCTCATGCAAAGATCAAAATTTGCTTAAATTTTCAGCTTTACCAATTTTAGAATATTGTTGAGCCGGAAAAGAACAACTTTCCATCCGGGATAGACGGCAACGATCTTATTCACTCAGCACTAAATTATGTTTCTATCAATACACACACCGAGTATAAACTTCCTTGTCTATAAATGTGTTTAGCACTGGAACGCTGTTTATAATTATTGAGGTGAGCAGAAGATTTGCTTTTGAGATATTTTTAACGAAGATTAAATGTAAGATAACGATTAAGTTTAAACATGACCATTTTTTAAATGAAACATTTATTCATTTCGACCGATAATTCAAAAGATAAACATTTGTGTGCATTAAATAGCAATTAAGAACCTATTTAAAATAAAATAATATTACCAATATCATATTTCACTTATTATTTTTTTGAAACACAACAACCAAAAATAAGCAATAGGGCTGTTTAATTAATTCAATTTATCATTTAGTCTCTAATCACGACATAGTTTAAATCGTGTGCTACATTTAATTGAATTAACGGTAATCGATATTCTGTTTCCATACCGAAAATAAACATTTATAGTTCAAGCACATATATTCACATTTCACTATTCTTAGAATATAGTCAATTATAGATCTTTCCATGTCCGAATGATAAAATCGCGACATTTAGTCTAAATGTGTGTGCCCGTAACTTTAAGTATATTTGCACATTCATGACCTTTATTTGAATATAAATAGGCATAGTCGTGTACAATATTTATAAAATTTGCGTGGTATTAAAGTCGTGTAGTCTTACAATCATAAGATCAATTTGACCTTTAAAATTCAACAAAGCCAAAATCAATTTAAGAACGTCTTACATACTTTAAATGATTAATATGCAGTGTGAATTAGAATGTGCACGTTTTTAGACATAGTTTAGTTTTAATAGATTTAAAGATCCTGTATGTCTTGAAATTGAGATTGCATACCACTCTTCATTGAATTATATATGTATGTAATTATGCAAATATGTCAATTTTCAAACATGGAAGAATATGTAAAATATGTATTGCAAATATTTGTACATATTTAATGTAATCATTAAATTATTATGCATGCATTTCTTATTGGATAAAATTGACTTAGAATATATAGAAAACTAAATTCTAATTACCTCCCTTTATTTACATGAAATATTAAATTCGGTAATATCTTTATAAATAATGTTTTTTGAAATCTTAATTTGAGCATAATAATTTGTATATAAAACCATAAAAATAATGTGTTACAGGATCTTTAATGGACAGTCCAAATAGGTATTTTGTCACACTCAGCCGTTTCTTTGTATACCAAATACGATATAAGTGATAAAGATATTACTATTAAGTGGAACAGAAGTAAATTGGTTAAGTTGTTTTCCTTTAAACCATGGATAATAGGTTTAAGCACTACTAAGAATTCCTTTTTTAATAGAAGGAATGAATGAGCAATTATCTATTTATTCCCAATGACAACGATAGTTTGCCAAAATTCGAAAAACCTCACACAAGATTTGCCAATACAATTAAATACTAGTTATTCCGTCAAGGAAATCGTGCTAAGAATGATATCACCATGACCATTTTGGTCATAATTTTATTTCAGAAAAAAATCCTTTGGTACTTAACATGTAAGTATTTTACCTTTCAGATGTCGGCAAAAACAGAAAATGAGGACGATGTTTATGCGAAATTAGTGAAGGGTTTGGTAACATCGGTACAATCAGAAACAGTATCTGAAGAAGCAGAGCGTATTCGTGCTGCTATACATTTCTATTTAATGGCCTGGCTTGGTGAAGTTGAAGATATAAATCCGCTGTTTAAGGTTAAAGAGTTGATTGGAGTGGGTAGTTATGCTGAAGGCACAAAGATAATCGAACCTAATGAGTTTGATTACTTAGCTGTAATTGATGACTTCTCCAAACCAGGTCTGTTGACAATAGATAAAGGGGAATCAAGGGTTTACGAAGGATTAGTAAAAGTCAAAGTTGAAGACGATAATTTAAGGTCTAGATGTAGCCATCTATGTAAAAGTGGCCATTTACAATGCTTTCAACCAATAAACTTTCCGAAGTCAGGTGAACATCGATTCGGACATGTTTTTATTGAGGCACTTTTAAAGTATGCAAAGAAAAATGGATTACGATGGAGACTTGGAGAAGGTACTCCAATATACTTCTCAGGTCAACTCAATTTACCATCTGTTAACAAGATATCCCTCGTGTTAGGAGGAGTTGAATACAGTGCACCGAATGTTCTCATTTATTTCAAGTACAAAGACAGGGAAATAACAACTGATTTATCCCCAGCAATAAGATATTTTCAACTTGAAGATTGTTTTAAAGTAGACGACTGTGCAGGTCCAGTTTTTGCAGAACTTGTTTTAAGTCGCAAGTCCCTACTGCTGATTGGAACTTCAAACGAATCATATTTTAAAATCACAGTCACCGAAGCTGAGGTTGAATACATGACAAGGGTTATGAAAACTGAGCACAAAACCATCTATATATTTTTAAAGTATATAGCAAAATTATATCAAGACAAAGTATACAATTTTTATCCTTTCACTTCCTATATGTTGAAAACAGTTTGTTTTCACCATGATATCAATTGTAAAGCAGGAAAGAAATCAATAAGAAACTGTCTTGAAGTGGTGATAGACGATCTAATCGTATGCGCTGAGCAAGAGTATGTTATAAGTATCCTAAACAATCACATTCACCTTAAATCAAACTACCCCGATCGCCTGCTCAAGGATTACGGAACAAGTATGTTGACAGGCATGAAGAACCTTTGCATATTACCTCATGGTATCAACACACTTGATGCATTTAATGAATTTGTTTGGAACGTTGTGCTGGAAGAGAAACAGAAAAGAGATAAAGGTATTGGTGTATGATCTTATAAGCATTGAAGCACTTGGTTTCCCCGTGAAATAAAATCAACATCACTACTGATATTGTTTTGCCAATCTGATTTAGTGTACATTCTTACCTTAAGTTTATTATTCCATTCTTTAGAAATTTAATGTAAAGTGTATGTTTTTTTGTTGTTTTTTTTTTCTTTTTTTTTTTTGCTATGGCACGTTTCTCGATTAAGATACCATATATATTTCTTAAGAACTTAAACATGAATATATGTCCTAAATACATGTATTGTTTGCCTTTCTCACCAGTTCATTTGTATTAAATTTATAAAAGAAATGACTGTTTATAACTACCATTTCCTTTTAGAATCTGACTTAAGATTTAGATTAGGAAATGATAGCATGAAGAAAATGTGTAATTTTATACATTTTTTTAAAGAACGTGATGAAGAAAAGAAAAATACTGATGAAATAATCAAAAAGTCCAGAGAAAAAATCAAAAGAGAGGTTTCAAAACTAACTGATATGGGCTTCACCACTGATGAAGCCGAGAGTGCTTTGAGGAGAGCCTTAGATGACCCTGAACTGGCTTTGGCAACATTAAAATATGTATGTGCATGTTTATTTTTGTATTATAAAGTATTTGTGGATAGGTAATGTCACGAATGAATGAATAAATAAGTATTAACATTGACCCGATGCGATCATGTTTTGTAGTACCAAAACATTTTAAACTGAGTTTGTTTTGTTTATATTTTAATTCCCGAAATTTTTTAGTTAATATTTTATTTATACGTACATTTGTATATGTAAGCATTTATTGTTCTGTTGTTTACTTCGCATTTATTATTTTTAAAACCATATTACTGGCACCAGTGAAAAACAGATTATGTTTCTATCATCTTTGTCAGCATGTAAAGTACATTTCTGCCTACAAAAACAGCATTTTGCATTCGATCAGGCAAGTTTTGACGCTTGACATAATTATATTCATAAGAAAAATATAAAGCTTGCATGGTTATTTATAAATGTTTATGTTTATAATGAGAAATCATTTTATTTAAAATCAATAGTAACCATTGATTTTACCGAAACTTTAATTACGCTTAGAATATTTAAAACAAAAACCTAAAGAAACGAGAAAGACTTTTCTTGAAAGTATCTCCATTCAATGAAAAAAGGCTAATTGGAATGGAAAAAGCCTTTTGTGTAACATGATGAAACCAATTAAATTCATAAACTACCTGTAATTGTCGTGGTTTTGTTCAGATATCTGTCATCACTGCAGCAATCTGCCGTCACAGGCGCCGGTTATAATATGTGTCTTTAAAGGAATGTCTATTCAAATCTGACCCTTCACAATGAGGTAGAAATATTTACTGAGCACAAGCATACAAATGTGTATACCGAATGATCTTACTTTATCTCCCACTTAATCTTGAAGGTTTCAACAGGTGACCAAAGCATTGTAATGCATGAACAAAATGTCTGCTTATATTTTTTCAAAATTGATTTTATTAATATAATTTTTCGCCCGAATAAGAATTTATAGTAGGTTTATTGACTAAAAGTGCTAACCAATAATCAATAGTATCATGACTTTAATTTATGTCCAATATAATGTAAACAAATATTTAAGGAAGGAAAAGTCAAAGAAAACGTTTTCTAGTTGATAATGATACCATTGTTGAAAGTGTAAATGGTCTTGAGTTTAACTCGTTTAAAGGAGTTATATTCGATAATATGTCATTTACCGGGGGCGTTTTTAGATACACTGTAAATAACAAATTACTCCTAAATTTTTACTATGTATGTGATACAAGAAACTATAATGTATATAATACAATCTTTAAATTGTCTTGCAAACTATTTCAGGAAGCAGAAAAAAGAAAGGACAAAACAGTAATGGAATCTGACGTCGAATCTGGAAAAGAGAAACGGAACGAGAGTTTGCCAAATACCGTTCAATCTAATGTTCCTGCATTGAACAGTGGTGCAAATGAAACTGATACATCAATAAATTCAACAGGGGAGTCTCCTTGTGTTACTCAACATGGGCTAACTTTAATTATCACCGAGGAAGTGATATATGAACGACAAAAACATTAACAATTCATTCAGCACATAGCATTGAATTCTCAGATTACTATTACAATTTGTAATCTTTGGCAAGCAAAAACTATTTTTGTTACGTGGGATATTTGTTTCTTTGCTTGTTGATATTTTTGTTCTTAGTTAACGAAATCAATACTATGAGAAATTCAATATATGTCCATCAATTTTAATACATTATACTTGATATATATGATCAGGAACTAGAATATGGAACACTAAACTCATGCATACGTTAAGGATAGCGTAATTATTAATAAGAACGTTTTCAACGTTTAGTCAAAGTACCAAGTAATATTAAACCTAGTTAAAAGAAAAAAAGCTTGTACACTGCATTATGCATATGTTTTTATTATGCCCTAGAACATTTTAATCTCTAAAAATTCATGAATGTATAAAAGAATTAGATGATATGTAAATGATTTTACAAGGTGTTTATTTTGAAAATGTTTAAATTATTAAGTGACTGGTAAGCCCAACATGACTGGTTGTTGTAAATAACACAATGTATGTAAATAACACAATGTCACTATTATAAAATTTTATCTTATCTTAATATCACCATGACTTGTATCTATTGCAACTAGAAAAATGCAAGGTTTATATAAGAAATAAAGGACACGTTATCTATTTGAGATATTGTTGTTATGTCTTTTCTTAAAAAATCGTCTTTAGCTAGTATATCATGACCGTCATATAGCATAATTTGGACAAGTGATCTCTTGGAAGCATTAAAACAACAAAATTACATGAAAATTGCAGACTTGTTTTGGGCTAATGAAACAGGGCAACATTCCTCACGCTCCCATAGCAGCGCATGAAATGTGCTGGAATATATGGTCCAAAGGATCAGAAAAAATATAACAACACTGAAGTACGGGACAACTCTTTACGTGTCTCTGAATGTGATACTGTTTTTTTTTTCATTGCACAGAAATCGTTTCTGTAGCATAACAAGTGATTTCTCAAAACAGTTATATAACAGATAAAACCAAGCATAATTTAACTTTTTTATTCAATGCCTCCATTGTGTGTCAGTAACGTTCTTCATCTCATCAGGGGGTGCCATAAACGCTAGAAACGATACATCTTTATTCCTATATAATACACTGTTATTACATGCTTTGCATGTTTGGTCATATTTTTATGTATGTTATTCAAGTAAGATTTTCTTTATCCTAAATGTGTTATAACATTGACTGTTCACAGATATCTTGAGAGAAAAAAAAATGCTATAAAAATGATTTTGGTTGACCGACTGTTTCTATTCTCATAACTTCAAATTAAGAGACATTCAGTGTATTGTGTTTACAATCATGATAGCTGTGATTTAACCGTGAGTTGTTCTATTGATATCGAGCTTTTCGACTTCCCATTGTTTTGTGGTAAAGCAAATGTATCATGTCTATCGATAAAGCAAATTCTATCTTCAAAGGGAAAAATACTTCATCATCAGCCCCTTTTTCCATTTTCTTATTTTAGTTTCAGTAAAGTATGCAATATTTTACTATAGTTTTGCCTGTTATACGTGTCTTATGTCTTAAGATTACAGGAAGATGAACTTGCATTTATAATATTGATCAACGTATTAATGATCAGTGAAATAAGCGGATTATGGCGGCATGAAGCATGATACGTTGACTTATCGGTAGTCAATGTTGTCAGGACGTATTATTTTTCAGTCTCTATATACATTCTAGTATTTACAACATCAACAACGAGGTTCTAGACATCCCACTCATGTCCACCGTAACATAATATTCACTCATGCATTACTGTCACTGTGTAATATAAATTGTACTCATCTATTAAATTTAGTATTGCACGACGATGTCTAATAAGTCGTTTGTTTGTTTGATTGAATAGGTTTTATGTCACACCAACACAGTATAGGTGTAATTGCGACGTCTCTGCTGTATTGGTGGAGGAAGACCTCAGGTGCCCATTAAATGGATTATTTCAGACACGAAAGGGCACCTGAGAAGAACCACTGACATTCCGTTATTTCTGTAATGTTGCTGGATACTTTCCTCACATGAAATATCCAAAGTCCCAAGTATTACACGGCTATGTAACTTTTCTGACCTAAAATGCTGGATATTGGCTTGCAAAGAAAGATAACATTTCTAGCATTATATGCTGTAAACAGGGCAGTCTTACAAGGTGCTTTAATTTACTAGCCTAAAATACTGTCAACGGTTTATTGTACTGGAAGGTACGATCACGTTTTCTAGCGTTATATGCTTTTATACCAGATATTGTATTAAAATGTAAGGTGACGTTTCTAGCCTTTAGTGCTGTAAAATAATTATAAATTGCTGCACTGTAGGTCTAATGCACCCTATGTTATTGTCCTTATCTCCATTGATGTAAGATTCTATGTTTCATTACTTTAAGGCGGGTGTTAATTGAAAGGATTTCTTTGTAGAACTATAATCCGGTTAATATCAAAAACTTTTCAGGAAGCTAATTTCCCCTTCCTGAAATGCCACATGCAATATAGCAGATTACTGTATTGATGAAATTTATTTACAACCTGGTCAAAACACACATTGTTACCACACTAGCCAATTTTCCGCTGTATAGACATGGATGCTATTTTCACGGATAGTTACGTAGGACGCAAAGATCTGGAAGATTTCATTGTATAACATAGTACTCTGCCCCACGCAACACCAATCAAATTTCTCAGCCACACAAGTCTCCTAAGCGTTGATCTCTATATTTTTACTTGCCCCTTTAGCTGCATGCGTAATTTTAATAGGATATTACTATAACTTGATTTTTACATTACATCCTATGATAGCAATGCTTAAATAAAAAATTCTTAATTTCCATTTTTTATTTAGTTATAAGATCAATTTTTTAAACTATGTGCATGTTATACGTCTCTATTCAAAGAACGTTACATTTATTAAAAGTGAAACGTATATGTCAGTGACATACATTAGCGATGAACATTTTTGAACTTATCTAATTATTAAAGATTATTTTTCAGTCTCTAATCATTTTATTTACAACTTGAACATCGAGTTTAGGACATGCTGCATTCCCCTATTACATATCAAACTTAATTGTTCTAATTCTTATTAAAATCTGCCAATTTAAATTTTCTAAATGAGCCCCAATGACACGATATTTTCTCTGTGTGTATTAAAGATGGTTTTATTAATTTCGAAAAGGAAAAAACCATAATTTAATTTTTAATTTCCTGTTTTTCAAAAATACCCACCCAATTACATAAATCTTAAAATGCTGGAATTTTAAAGAAAGAATAACATTTCTTAATCATTCTAAACATGGGGTCTTCAGTGTTTAATTTCTGCCAAATCTGTATTATTGTATTTCCATATTTCAGAGCTTAATCATACGAATTGATTAAAATGTCAATGAGTTTTAGCCTTATTGAAAATATTATAAAATTCCCATAGTTAATGATTTTATGTCTTATCTCCAATTGGGGTAAGATTTATTTCATTACTTCAAGGCAGGAATTGAAAACTTTGAGAATATAACGGAATACAAAACTTTTCAAAAAGTTTTTGACATAATGCAATTAGAATTACTGTATTGTAAATGTACCGTTACTAACTTCACCACTTTGACCAACAATTCCCCTGACAGTTAATTAAATTTGTAGAGAAAATTCTTAAGATTCTGAATAACAAACTTGACGAAAACCACTTTCCGCCTAAAAAATGAGATACATTTAATCCCTGAAAAAGAACACCAAAATTAAAAAATGTACTCGTAATGGCTGTTGGGGCGAAATGCAAGTTCTTAAGCAGGCAAGCAGTCCATTCAGAATAGTAATTTTTGTTTGTTTGTGTTTGTCGGATGCAAGTGAACCTTAAATTTACAAAAATTTCCCATGAAAAGGGCGTATGGTTAAGTTTCTTTTACAGAAAAAAGAATAAATTAAGAACCCCTAAGGTTTCTAAAACTGCCATTTGCTTATGCTTATTTTAATAGATATTTTTTAATATTTTTTTAATAACTAATTCTAATTTGTTTGGCTTAATTATATTTAAAGTTTGTAATTTGAAGTGCTCTTGATATGATCTTAATTTTCAAAAGAAATCTAGTTATTATGAAATCTGTAGTATTCGAATTTGCCTGCATGGGCGTGCACCTGAGGTCTTCCTCCACCAGTAAAGCTTGAACATCGACATATGATCTGTACTGTGTCGGTGTGACGTGAAACCCAATCAAACAAACAAACAGTAATGTAAAATGTTGTATTCACAAAGTCTATGTTGATTTCCATTTGATAAATTGCACAAGCATTGGCTTACAGTTCGAATGTTTTCAAACAACCTACGCATAAATATGTATGAGTGATTTAAACTTTAGATTCATGATAAATTTTGTATTGAATCATACAAACGTAAATGACTAAGAACATGCTAAAATCGATTCCTTCCTGAATTATTGTAAAATATTGAATATGGATGCATTTCAATATCCGCTTTACGTTTTCTGTAATATAACAGTTCGATATCTCGGGGTTTATGTCTCACGTTTATAAATAAAAAACAACCCTAAACAATAATAATAATGAATAAATAAGAAGAAAAATAACATGAGAACTGTCGATAACTAAAAAAATCGGAGGATTTTAGTCGGTTTTTGCTTAATATATATTAGAAATAAAATTATTGCGAGAATCAGAACGTTATTTTGTCATTTTCAAGAAGAGGTGAAAAATCTAAATGATCACATCATCTCATTTACCCCTTTATGCATAGATCCCTGACCTGTCTACTTTATTTATCAGATTAATGGATGCAATAAGAATTTCAATATATTTGTTAACACAAGAGCACATGTCAATGTTTTTTGTTAAGAAATATTGTTGTTCAAATAAAAGGTCAGGGATGTATCAAATTGATAGAAGTTTAAAACACTACACAATTGTAGCGTCCAGTTTTATCGTACAACCTTGTCGTTCATATTTTCGTATAGCAAACAATTGCAAGTTATTGCAACGTTTTATCCTATCCTTTATTTATCTGCTTATTTATTTATTTATTCTTTTCCTTTTTTGTATTTTTTTACCAAAAGAAACAATTATGGAATATTTTCAATTCAAGCTGATAGCTTGCAAATTTATTTTTAATACCGCTTTTGTTGCTTCAGTAATACAAATTAGCCTCAAGCTTACTTCTCTGATGCTTTATTTAGAATGTGACATACCACCCTGACTAACCTTGATTCCTGCTCTTAATGTTTTAAAGCGGCGTTCAGCTTTTCTAAATATCTTATTTTTAGGTTTATCGTTCATACTATACATAATTATAATTGTGACATCAAAAGGATTAAGGTGGGAAATTAAATTTCAAATTGTCTATGATAGAATACATAAACAAAAAGGAAACACCTTGACACATCATATCTACTGTTCCGCTCTCTTTATTTAAATTAGTAAAGCGGATTATTCGTTTCCCGATTTTATATTTTTAGAAACTACGTCACTGTGACTGACGCGTTATAAATAGTTCTCGAGACGCTGTTTTGAAGACGGCTTAATAATGAAATGTTATACTTTTCCAGGATAAAAAAACTATAATACTTAGTTTGAAACAACATAGAATTATTTTTCCAACAGACGCCGCTT